AATCCCAACAATTTGCCCAAGTCGGACAGCTTCCAAACTGGCTGCAAATGTCACTATTCAAAAGTTTTCGTCACTGCCTGAATCCAACAAAAGACTGTTTCCTCAGCGGCAAAATTCCATGAGTCACAGCTATGAGGAGGCGATTGCTCGACGAAAGATTATCAGTGAAACCACGCGACAGGTTTTAGTGACTGTACAACGGGCTCATATGACCATTGCTGTGGACCAATCTATCCATCTTAGAGAATCAGAACTTTCTAGATGTCGATTTCTTACATCAAAAAAGTCATTCTACCCAAATTTTAGTCCCTAGTATCGGTCTGCGAGCGGTGGAAGATACGTTTATTTGGCGAACATACAGAGGGGAGACACTTTTCTTCCTTGACTTTCGAGGCGCTATAAGTTACACTTTATTGAATTCTGATCGGACATTTCTACCACCATATTAAAGAGCATATCAAATACTATCATGATACTCCGCCACAGCCTTCTGGAGGAGCGCCATCGAGAGATTCTGCCACGCGACCGTGAGTGGGTACCTGAGTTCAGCGAGATCGTTGATTTCTCCGCCACTGTAGACCTTTGAGCTCCGCCCGAACCGGGTAATTGAGGGGGTTTAGGTCAGGTGACACACTTAGATATTCCGTCTTCTTCAGGTACTCAACGCCCTTCCATTCCAAGTAGGCGAGAGTTTTTCCAACGCCCTTCCATGTGGTGTCACCCAATCCTGTAGCAGTACAAAGTTTCCAAGAAGGTACGGGCGACGACATGTAGGGAGGATATTCTTCTCGAGTTGCTCGATGTAACCGCCAGCGCTCACCTTCCGAGGAACTTAGTACCAGCATCGTTTGCCAAACCCATGGCGGGGGGGTTCGTACTTTGCTGTCTTGCGGGAAGGGTGGGGGGGTCGTATTTTAAACAATTTATATTGATAGTTGATTTTTCTTGTGAAAAGGGTGGGGATCGTATTAATTTTATTGTTTTACATGCATTTCGGTACTCCGTGCGATTACGTTGCCATAGTTATTATATACCCTCCCCCCTTTCTCGACAACTTTTTCGCCGACTATACTCATGGCTCGTCGTTCGCGAAAGCGGAAAATAGCCGTTGGGGGGGCGTGAAAGCCTGGGGAACCCCATTTCAAGGGGGGGGGTCGTACTCACACCGACATTTCTCACATCCCCATGCTGTACCCTGAGGGAGGATATTCTTCTCGAGTTGCTTGATGTGACCGCCGGCGCTCACCTTCAGTCGGGGTCTCGAAGAAAATATTGGACTTTCCATTCCAGGTATGTCCGGTCCATACCATCAACCCGCGCCTTTGCCACTGTGGAGAAGATGATGTCCTAGACCATGGCCGATGTTGTCGCGAGACTGCCGTGCGGGAAGGGGTCTTTCAGATCAAGAGCGCTGGTCTCCAGGCAGCTATCCATGGGTGTTCTCCAGTCAGGCTGCGACTGGAGATGACTTCATATTTTGGTGTACATGAAGGTGATGGGCGAGAGCCAGCTCCTGCTTATCGAGGAACATCTTGGGTATCTTAAGTCCTGTACTCGTATTCACGCCTCTGTTTGGTGGTGCGAATATGAATGTATAATGTGACATTCGGTCGAGGTGTGTTTTTTTTGAGCCCCCCTGTATGTCAGATTGCTTCCATACTTTGCGGCGGCGTCCTAACAGCGACCACCAATGTTTCATGCTGCCATCAGCGTTTTGAGGGGCAGGTATATCGTTCTAGTGTTCACCGAAGCCTACTAGCGTCTTATCAACTACCTCGCAGCGCGCCTTAGGGAAAGCAATTATTACGATTCTAGCCGTCTACCAGCGTGCAAAAGCGATCGGGGGCGTCCTCCAGCGATCAACCTTGCGGTATAGTGAGGTGCGGTTGCGTACGCCACATTTCTACGACGCCTGATCCAGCAAGTTCCTCCCGCCTACCTTCCCGTACTCTCCACTCCTGGTCGCTGGTGGACGCTGGTAGACGCTAGATCGATATCCATACATTCTAGTCCCTGAGACGCTACTGGTACTTGGTGAAAGCTGGTGGACGCTGGTAAACGCTGCCATTCGCTAGATCGATATCTACCACTTCCATGTAGCTGACGGTGACAGACGCTCGAAACGCTGATGGTCGCTTGCGGACGCTGCCGCAAAGTATGAGCGCAGTCATAAACAGAATCTGACGTTCCCGAACCTTGAATACTGTTAATTTAATTTCAAGAATGCGACCGAGAATCGAAGAATGACACAATGACAGAATGACAATGCACGCAATGCACCATTCTTTCCCACGTTTTTTCTATGTTTATGGCAGCACTTTGCATCTAACCATAAGTGATTCCTGATTCCTTATGATTTACTGGCAAGAATAATAGTTCTTTCTAGCTGCGAGAATAGTACAATTTCTGCGACTGCAGAACAGGTTATGTCGTACAGCGAAGGGAGTTTACCTGGCTGATGTTGGCCGAATGCATGCTTTTTTCGGTGGTCCCTGCTGTACTTGGTAATACATTACTGAGAGGTTTATGAATGCGTGACTGAGCACATAATCACCACGTTTCCACCATAGCACTGCAACACGTGAACAAAGCCGGGAATACTACAGTAAGAAAACAAAGCAGTGAGCATGACGCAGCAGAGAAGTGGCTCAGAACAAAATTCTACTTTACTTGTTATTTGTCAAACAATTGAATGTAATGGCAGATAAACTGCTCATAAAGCGATAACTGATCTGATGCACTCAAATAGCTAATGTTGCGAGGTATAATCGTTTTCGCTGTAGACGCTGGGGCGTGGCATAGGAACCGTGTTTGGCCATTCTCCACCAATTTCGCTTGCGCGCCTCAATAATTGGCGGAGAACGGGCTAGCGTCTCGTGGAAACCCTTCCTTCCGGCACTCCCTAGCGGTTGCAGCGACTGTGTCTATAGCAAAGATAAAAATAAGTGGTACAAAGATCAAAACACATTGACTAGAAACAATTCCCTCGGAAGTTGAAGAAAAGTGAACGAGGAAAAATGAGCACAATTAGTCTCATAGGAAACATCGGATTAAATTTCGAATGCAATCGATACCTCCACAAATGCATCTAATGCTCTTTAGAAATGAAGTAAACAATTAAACAAAAGGCAATAGTAACAACTATGATACAGCCAATGAGGAACGCCATTTTCAAGACTTGAAAAGACTCGTTGAACTCCAGTGCAATGCTGTCAAATATCCACTGTAGCACATCGGCCGAGCGCTGATTGCATCTGAAATGATACTTGTATACGAGGAAAGTTCAGAATAGCGAGGAGAGGCGTTGCAATCAAATGCACCGTCCGAAAAGATCAGATTACACTGGAACTCCACGTATCTATTCCTGAAACGGAGTGGATCGGTCGAGGATCACAATCCATTGGCGGTGAACACTATAGGATTCACGCAAGTTAGCACATAGCGGGACTCAAAGGTAGAGCCCGCAATCAATCATAATTGACCGAGCTCTTCGCAGGGAAAAGGTAGAGCGGGACTGCCCAGCGATCCCTGTGTAAGTTTTACGTCAGAAAGCGGTAAGGTAGAAGCGATAAGCACAAGGTCGCTCAGGTGAATAGACGCCAGCTTGATAGATGCCTCGCCTGCTGTCTTGCTCATTTGCATACTCTCTCGCTGCTTTTTGTGGGCTTTCGCCGATATCCGCATCATTCTTTACCTCTTAGCTGGTACGAGTACGGCCTATTTTGAAGCATTCTCAAACCTCCCTTTTTTCACGAGCAAGTCAACTAGCGCATACATTTCGCGACCCTGCTATCAACAAATGTTCCGCTGGCTCATTGCGAATTTGACTAGGACATTTTTCGAAAAGACAATACTCCACTTCACTCTTTGCCTACTTACTCATACTTTCTTGCCGCCCGAAATATTGATTCGATTTAGGAGAACTAATTGTTTGGCGTCCACTTTCCAAGCGACACTGACGCGGCCGGTGGGCTCCTGCCATTGCATGCCACGGAATATTTCGCTTTGGGTCGGTAGTAGGCCCTCCCCTTCCGGCGTCAAAAAAGGTTTCCCACTTACCCCTCCCCCTTACAGCGGTGTACATATATTTGCCGTAATACCTGCGGGTGCGTCGGAGACGCGTGCCTTTGAGAACGGGACGTTGCACACCCCACTGGACGTCCACTAGGCTTTAGTCAATTCTGAAAAAATCATAGCATCCTCCGCACACGAGCTTTTCCCAAACGGTAAGCAGAATGTTCGGATTTCTGAGAGGATTCATATAACATACTCAGCCTTGGCAGGAGCCCTGCATTAGCGCTTCACACCAGAAGGGCGAAAAGGTACACCGTTTTGAAAACGTAGGAAATGTTCTCTTTCTAAATGGTGCATTATTTTGTTGTAGGTCGACTACAGCAAAAAGTTGATAGTCACAGATTTTGCTTTGAAAGTTTGCTTCAGCTGCGATGCAAGGTTCCCCAAATGAACAGCCCACGTTTCCAATCCTAGAATCTCGGAAAAAACTTTCAAAAATCTCCGCCCTCGTGAATAAAATATGAATTGGCTTCAGGCGCTGATCAGCTTCTGTGTGGGAATTGCGCCATGGCACTTCCGTCTATCCCATACAAAACCCAGAGCGGAAATAGAAAAGGACATATGGAATATAGACCTAATACGGCCATAAGTTTGTTCGGTCCGTATTAGGTCTATATGGAATATAGACCTAATACGGACCGAACAAACTTATGGCCTAGCTCACTGATAAAAACGTGGCTTGTTGCTATGTTGTAGTTTCATTTACTGTGAATTCGACTGCCATGAATTCCCAGCTCGACGGAGATACGGCGCTCCACTGCGAAGCACAAAAGCGGGAACAGTGTTTCACTAGTGAGCCACTGCTGTGTTCATCATTGAGTCCTGCACATACGACCTCCTCTTCCCTACGGCAGGTCACCTACGACCCCCACGATGCAGATTCCGTGACGTGCGCTAGAACTTGCCCATGTCAACTAGTCCTCTCATCTAGTCGAAGTCGGCTAGTTGGTGCTAAGCTTTATTGGAACCATAAAAACACTGACTGGGACATCAGCGAGTCGTTAAATTGGCCATATTTATTTGATAAATTCTATTTCGTGCAGCAAAGCGCTTAAGCACCTATCAATGAACTTACTCAGGACATGATCCCTTTCCTTCGTGGAAATCGTCGTCATTCCGCGTAGAAACCTTCTTCAAATTGATAGCGTAAAAACTGAATCACATTTCTTCAAAATAGAAACGTAATAAACAGGATTCCATACGAGAACCTCACTCGCCTTAACCAATGGCAGATTTCTCCATCAGGATCACCTTTTGGGTGAAAGCATACGTACTGAGTGCGATTGACCGAGGTTGGAAGTGATATTCGTGTCGTAAAGTTTGCTACTTTTGTGGTCGCTACTGAAAAGAAATATGGAATCAAGAATTTCTTTAGAAATTATATTACCAAAAAGGAAATTCCGAAAAGCTATAAAAGCACTAACGTGGGACATAAAGACGCTCCTGTATTTCTGATTTCGTTTCATTGGTGTAGATGCCTCCAAGAATCGTCCCACGAGCTTCCTTCAATACAAATATAGTCAGAAATGAAGACTTGTTATGAGAGGAGTTTTTACTGGCCTATTTAGCGGACCTCGCCTCATACAAAGTTACCATTTACAGCATTTTTGCTAGGGACTTAGCTGCCCAAATATAAGTACCAGGTTGGTGAGGAGTCCTATGCGTTTCTTACGAACTCTTTCTTATTGCTCATCTTCCTTTGAAGGAACTGTCCACATTTATCATGGGCGGAGTGAGACCTACTATCCATTGCACTAACCTCCTTTTTTCTCATACGGTAGAAAAATGATGTGGTCAACAATTAAGGCACAATAGGAGTCCTGGGACAACTTCCTTATACCGGCTGTATGTCGTTTGGCGCGATTTTTGTCGCCCATACGTCAAAACATGTCAGCCAAATCGACTTCCAGGAAACAAAACTCGTCCGAACCCTGGCTCAAAATCATGGGAACAACCAGCAGTAACTGCGTTGCGAGCATAGTTATCAACAATTCTGTCCTTCGCCCTTACCACGGATAGAAAGCAAGAACTTCGGGACCAGACTCAGCTTGTTCCCCGCTTACCAAGCGATCTTTCTACTGCCGCTGTCAGGAAAAATCCAAAAAGAAACTTGTCCCGTCGCTCACAGCAATGAACCATGAAGCCACCCACACAAAACAAGCAAAACAGGAAAAATCGCAGCTTTATCACCGCTGCGACTGTCTTTCAACTTTGAGAAAACTTCTGAGAAAACGAAACTGGCGGATATTAAATTTTACACCTGGACTCGCCACGACTTCGCTTGAAGCCTCCGCTAGCAGCCGACAGAGCGCGAACCTAACACAACCACGTAGCAAGAGTTTGATTTAATTTAATT